AGGAAGGAAGCCATAGTCTTTATTGTGCAAACCGGGATCTTGTGAAGAGGGTGCTGTCTTTATACCAGAACAACAGGTGAGTAATCCAGGCAGGATGACCCCAGACAAATGAGATGCAACCATCCCTGAGATGGGAAAAGTATCAAGAGATTCAGCCTGCAGGCCTAACTCTACCCCTGCCTCTCCACAGGGCTTCAGGTAAGTTACTTCCCCTGAGCCTCAGTTTCCTTGAATGTAAAATAACAGATTAAGTAATCTCTAAAGTTTGTTTTGTTTTTTGAGGTTCTTGCTATGTATTTCAGGGTGCCCTTGAATTCACTGTGTAGCCCAGGCTGGCCTCAAATTTACTGTGATCCTCCTGCCTCAGCCTCTGGAGAGCTTGGATTACAGCTGTGCACTACCGTGCCCAGCTGAAGTTTTGCTGATTAAGAAAAATCTTAGACTATGATGCTAAGTTTTCTTAGCTTTGGCTAGAAGCAACTCGGGAGATGTGGTGGACATGCAGGAAGTAGCCTTTCAAGAATATATACAGCTGGGCCGGGGATTTAGCTCAGTGGTGCATCTGGCTTGCAAGTGCCAGGTCCTGAGTTCAATCTCCGGTACCAAAAAAAATATATATATATATATACATATATACATATATATATGTATATATATATATATACACACACACATATATATATGGATATACATGTATATATATGGCTGATTGTCTTAGCATAAACTGCAATGGCAGTGTTGTACTGATTTGACGTTTTAAAAGAAGGGCGTGGTGGCCCAGCCTGTAATTCCACCTAATCAGGAAGATAAGGCAGGAGGATCAAAAGTTCAGTGCCAGCCAGGGCACACTAGCAAGACCTTGTCTCATAGTAAAAATATAAAAAGAGCTGAGGAGGTAGCCCAGCATTCTCTGAGTTCAAACACCAGTACAACAGTAATAATAATGAAAATAATAATAATATAAACAAAAGAGAAGTCTCCACATATTCACCAATCAGAGCTCCGTGGCTAAGCTGTCAGTGATTACTCTTCATTTCTCGAGACATCCATAGGTCCCGAGACCACTGTGGCCCCCAGGCAGCCCACTGCTCCTCACCTGCCAGACCCCAGGCCAGGGAGAGAGCAGTGTGTTCATCCTGCTCATCTCATCTGTGGAACCTGCTTGCTGGCTGTGGCTCCCCACTGCTGTGAGACCTTCAGGCTGTCACCAGGTCTTCAGAGAGTGGCAGGGCACATTTAATACTCAGAGGTACATGGCTGCTCTTCAGTAACAGTCTCTCTGCCTGTATCAGAACTGCAGAAGTGCCAAGTTCAGAGAAACTGTAGCTACTACATAAGCTTCAGATCATAGATGAGAAAACAGCAACAAATGTTACCACTCTGGCACCATAGGAGGTGATGTGCTGGGTGCTTTATGGCAATCATCTTATTCTTGTGACAAGCCTATGAAGAAGCTGATACTATCCTCATTTGTGAAATGAGAAACCTGAGGTTTTCAGAGGATAAATAACTTGCTACTAAATTTTTTTAATTAAAAAATTACTTGCTAGTTGGCCTGTCCAGCATAATCCAAGTATTTGTAGGTGACAGAAAAGGAATCTAAGCCTGGTTCTGTGTTTCTCAGGTCACTCTTCTTTCCAATAAAACAATCAAAAGTAATCCCAGCACTTGGGGAGGCTGAGGCAGGAGAATCACAAGTTCAAGTGCACCCTGGGGAACTTTGCAACTTGAGACCCTGTCTCCAAATAAAATATAAAAATAGAGGGCTGAGGGTTTAGCTCAGTGGTTCTACAGCCTGCCTCACAAGTGCAAGGACCCGAGTTCGATCCCTGGTACCAAAAAAACCCCAAACAAACAAAAAAATAGAACTGGGGATATAGCTCCTTGTGAAGGCCCTGGATTCAATTCCCAGTACCACAAACAAATAAGATCAAAAGTGAGACAACAGGGTCAGGGATTTGGCTCAGTGGTTCTGCTGCCTGCCTCGAAACCGCAAGGTCCTGAGTTCGATCCCCAGTACCAAAAAAAAAAAAAACTGAGTGTTGCTCAGTGGCATAGGGCTGCCTAGCACATTCAAGGGCCAGCAGCACAGAAAACAGAAAAGAATGAGGCACTTGTCATGCACCTACAGGGCAGAAGGCTCTGTGCCAGGGCAGAGACGGCTAGTTGGGCTAACAATGAAATGCAACATACAGTCCTGCCCTTTCAGGTTCTAGGTGAGAATATGGTCTGCAAAGCTCTGTCTTCAGGAGGCTCAAAGGCTTGACAGAGTAGGCCTTCTTCCAGCCTTCCCATCCTGTAGGAAGTGGTCACGGGCCAAAGAGGAGGAAGGCATTACTGCACTCTGCCTCTTTTGCAAGTGAGGACACTGAAGCATGAGGATTACATGGCCATTACCAGTGAGGCCGAGAATGCCTCGGTTCTTTCCAGAACAGTCCCTGGGCAAGGTGATGGCCCTCCAGTCACTCTGGTCCCTGCAGTCATTAGACAGTTGCTTCTCACAATAGCCAAACCTGTGCATCTGGATTTTATTCCTTTTCTGTCTCCTCTTTTTAATGGAGACAAGCTGGGGAATAGACAGTCTCAAAGGAAAAGACAGCACCTGGCTGTGAGAGTAGATTGTATTACAACTGTATTACAGCCAAGTGGAGGGGACTGTCCACAGCAAGACAAGGGTAAAACACAAATGACCACCACACCCATGTCATGGACTCTGGGCCTGACACTGCCAAGCCCTCTACACTCAGCCCCATGACATCTATACACGGGGGTTCTGTGGGCCCCAGAGCTTGTACAATTTAAGGGGCCCTTCCCAAGAGAAAAATTCTGGGTCAGCATTTAGAACAGGGCTTTGGAAGGACCCTTGCATGTGGAGAACCTCAAGCTCCATGGTGTATGTACTGCTGTGCCCAGGATAGCTGACCTCGCTTGTCCCCACTTTTACACGAACTGAAATCCAGGCTGAGAAGTGACATAATTTGCCCAAAGCCAGAAACTCAAAAACAGTGAGTTAAGGATCTGAACATAGGGTATTAGACTCCTAATCTCATGTATGTTTTTGTTGTGTGGCTTGTAGTCAAAATAGAATTGCTGTCACTTACTAAGCACCAGCTCTATACCAGGAGAAGCATACCCATTTTCTTGACTAATTCTTGTCACTTTTCTGTATACGTCCATCATTATTCCCATTTACAGATAGGGAAACGAACCAAGAAAGAACAAACAGCCACTGGTGCTGGGCCACTCCCAGAAGTTTTACCCACAGAGTTCTTTCTCTTCACCACCATCCCACTCACCTATGCCCCCCCAGCTCACCCAGGACAGGGCAGAATGACTCATTGTGACCTCTGGCTGACTACACGTCTGTGCACTGAAATCAGCCCTGTCCTTTCACTACTGTGCCACATGGTGCCATTCTCCGGTGCCGGGGTGGGCAGTTCTGCAGTCTCCTGTACAGTCGCTCAGCAGTCAGAGCCCTCCTCATGGAGAAAACCACTTGCAAAGGCCAACACAAACTCAGGCCTCAGCCAGCTGCCTACAGCCACCCCCAGCGTGAGAGACCCCCGGGGAATCAGGACTGGCCAAATCCAGGACCCTGGAGAGGCCCCTCCCCTGCGGGGCTCGATGAGAGAGCCCTGCAAAGATGTGAAGAAAATTCACATAGAACTGACTATCGAACTGCTTGACTCTAGCCACTCAAAGCAATGGGTCTGGATGTGCAGGGTGGAGAAGGAATGTGGATGCTCGGGAAAACCATGGCCTCTGAGAACCTCAGCTCAGCCTTCCCTTCCCTGGGCACTGTGAACTTACTAAAAATTAAATGATGCCTGTTATGGCACCTTTTTTTTTGTACTTAAGATTGAACCTAGGGCTTGCCTTTGCACTGAGGTACATCCCCAACCCCTTTTATTTTTAGACAGTCTCTCTGAGTCACTAAATTGACCACACTTGGCTTGAACTTTAGATCCTCCTGCTTCAGCCTCCCAGATTACTGGGACTACAGGTGTTTGCTATCACACCAGGCTCCTGCTACAGCCCCCCCCCCCCTTAACTGCCTTTAATTGCTAGAGTCCAAGTAATTGATTACTTCTGGAAGCTCTGTTGAAGTAATGCATGTGTTGCCGCCTGGATCAGAGAACATTACTAACAAAGAGTGCACGACTCGAGCTGGAGCAGGCCCAGGTTTTATCTGCCTGCAGTAAGTGCAGACCCGCGCGAGGCCTGAGCCTAAGGTTGTAGGTACTCCGGGTTAGGCTGCCCCGGACTTTTTTGTGTTTTAAAGGAAAAAGTGATCCGACGAACTCTCTCCTCTTCCTCTTTCCCCAGGGCTTGGCGAAGCCAGTGAGAGGGTAAAGACAGACCAGGCCAATGATGTGAAGTCAAAGATGGAGAAGCCTCCCCGCGGGACTCGCAGGCCCCCGGCCCAGCCTGGCCGGCCACTCCTGTCTCTGCGGCCTCTCTGGTCTTCGCCATCTTTACCTGCAGGCGCCGGCCGCCAGCGAAGAGCAAGGACGTGGAGCCAGGCGGCACGGGCGGCTGCTGCGGGACACAAGGCCGCTATGTCCGGGCTGGCCACGAAGGAAAGTGTCCCAGCCCGGAGGCCCGGCCGCCTGCCAGCCCTGCCCGCGCCCCGCCAGCCCGGGGCGGAAGAAGGCGCACCAATTCAAAGCTGAGACTCTGTGCCTTTTATTCGGTTTTGTTTCTCCACGAGGTGGGAAGGAAACCGTTTGGGCTCAGCTGTGATTGCATTTTCTAGAAGGGTTGGAGAAATGCAAAGGCCAGCCAAAAGCGAGGCCTTGTTGTGAAGCCGAGGTCCACAGTCCGGCTCATCATTACAAAGGGGACACAGCCACCTCCATCGCTCCCTACTCCAGGGGCCCAGGAAGGCAGGAGGTGGGGTTGCTCCAGGCTGGGCGGGGGTGGGGTGGGGCCCTGGCAAGGTCCTCAGTGGAAGACGCACACATGCACGCGCGCACACAGCGCACCCCATCCCACCTCACCTTCTCGACCGCCCGGTCCACGGCCTTCTGGAAGACCCGGGCCACGAGCAGCGTGACGCTGGTCACCAGCAGCAGCAGGGACAGCGTCCCCGCAGCGTAGAAGCAGCATCTGCCCATGCTGCGCGCCGCCCCGGCCCGCGGCCGGGATACGAGGAGCGAGAGGCGCCGCCCCAGCCGCCGCGGTGGCGTCGCGAGGACCCGGGCTCGGAGCACGGCCTTCCGGTGTCGGCGGGGCTGGATCTGAGTCCCTAGCCGGTGGCTCCGGGGGCCAAGGGCGCGCGCAGGCCGACACTAGGCGCAGCCCTGGGAGAGGACGGCTGAACCTCGGGCGGGGCCGGGGAGGTCACGTGTCCCGCAGCGGCGGCAGCGATTCGGCCCGCGGTCACCCGGGCGGTGTCCTGCGTGCCTGGCGTTGCCGTTCGCTCAGAGGCTCTGCAGAGCGGGGTTCTGGGCAGACGCGACATTGCCCCTGCTCCGAGGGGCTGCCGGGTCACCTGGACGCTGTGCGATGGTAGCACAGTACAGCGAGGCGCAGCAAACCCTCGGCATGCAGGGACCAGGACCCTTGTGGAACCGGCTTCGAGGACGTGTGACAGATTCTCGGGGAAAGGGAGGTGTGCAGCCAGGCACCGAGGCACACACCTGCAGTCGCGCACTGTGGGAGGCTGAAGGAGGAGAATCACAACACAAGTTCAAGCCTAGCCTGGGGAATGTAGTGCCTTAGCGAGGTCCTGTCTCGAGTAAAATAGAATAGAAAAATATAGAATAAGCTGGGACTATAGGTCCGTGCTAAGGCCCCAGGTTCATTCCCCAGTACAGTCAATCAGTGGGAGGAGGCTGGACAGAGAAGGAAAGGAGAGCAAGGCCTGCACTGGGAGTGGAGGAGCAAAACTGCGGGAGGCCAGGAGATTCCGGTGTTTCGGGGGTGGCAGGGAGGTGCAGAGGCTGAGGAGTCAGACAGGAAGGGCTATGACCAGCAGGAGTCTAAAGAAGCTCAGAGCCTTAGACCGGTGACCTCTTCATTCTGCTCACTGCTGCCCTGGACACCCAGGGCTGCCCAGTAAATGCCAGGTGAGTGAACGATCCTTCTTGGGTCCTCTCCACACACCCCTCAGCTAATACCATGCATCCCTGTGACTCGATGGTTGTGTTTGCTGGAAACAATATACTGTGCCAGGGGGTCATGGAGAGAAGGGCAGGGAACTGGACCTGGGATTCGGATGCATTCTTGCGAAGGAAGGGGCAAGGCAGGGAAGGCTGGGTGGGAGGATGCGTTCAGCTGGGGCCTTGGAGCCACGTGGCTGTGCTGCAAGTCTGGCATCCCCAGGCAGAAGTCTGCCTTGTGGCGTCTGTCCCCAGTCAAGGTTGGGGGCAGCTGCAAAGCTAGGGCCCTGCACCTACCTGGGGATACAAATCCGAAGACAGATTTCAGCAGCTGTGACAAAGAGGTGGTCAGCTATGCTATGTGCACTGGAAGATCTGAGGAGGGCATTTTCCTGGCCACCAAAGTACACTTACCATCGTACCCTTACAATTCAGATTCAGCCAAACACAGAAGGAAAATAGTCCAGCAAAAGTTCCATTGTTGCCGAGCATACTGAGTAGTTATACCTGGCATGGTTGCTTTTGCACTGAATAGATCACCACCTCAAGCAATATAAAGTATCAACTATTTACACAGCATTTGCATTGTATCAGATACTATCAATAGGCTAGAAATGGTGATGGTGAAACTTTTAGAGAGGAGTGCCCAAACTGCAATCCAAACCCATGTATTTATCCCTAAGAAAAACAAATAGCATGCCAAGATAGGTTTGCCACCACTGATGTAAAATATATGGGAGTATGTGTGTAGGTTCTATGCAAACACAATGCCATTTTCTATAGGGGATTTGAATACTCTGGGATTTTGATATCCGCTGAGTGGGGGAAGTTCTCGAAGCAGTCTGCTGTGAATTCTGTGGGACACTGTATTGTCCTCATTTTACACATGAGGAAATCAGGTTTCAAGAATTAAGTAACCAAACAAGTTCAAGGTGGTCCTGCCTGGTCCAAAATATAGAACTGGTGGCCTCCAAAGCCCTCAATTTTTCTACTTTATGCATTGCTGTCACTAATGAGACTCTGGGGACAGGAATCAGGAAGCTTTGCTGAGGTTTGGTGGGGTGATGGATTGAAAATAGTGACAGTTTCTTTGTCTCCTTTATATTGAAAGGTAGAGTCTGCATTTGCTCCTCTGGAACTTGGGCTGCACTTAGTGATTTGTGAAACTGCAGAACGTGGGGATGAACACAGCCTGGAGCTTCTGACATCAGGTCACAGGTGCCTTGCAACTTCTGCCTGGGCCTCTGGGAATTCCAGCTCTTGGAGACCCAAGCCACCATCAAGTTAAACTCCTCTGGGATGGCTGTGCTGGAAAGCCTGGGAGAAACCACAGGGAGAAGGGTGTCCTCCTGACTTTTAGCTGTCCCCAGCCATTTGAGTCACAGGCTCCATATATAGAACAGAGATCCTTGCTGATCCCCACTGGGAAAGCAAAATAAAGGATTCTGGTCCTAAGTCTCTTAAGTCTTGGTGTACTGTTATATCAGTTAGCCTTCTATTTCAGAACAAAATACCTGATGTACACAACTTAAACCAGGAAGGGTGTTTTGGCTTATGGTTTCAGAGGGTTCAGTCCATGCTTTGCTGGCTCCAAGGCAGAAACATCATGGCAGAGGGGCCTCATGGAGGAAAGCTGTTTGACTCATGGTAGCCAGGAAGCAGAGGGAAAGGGAAAGAACCAGAGAAAGAAGTAAACCTCTTCACTTGGGCCCCACTCCCAACACCCATCCCGCCATGAACTCCTTACTGGGTTAACCATGGATGGCAAATCCATTGATGAGGTTGGAGCCCTCATAATTCAGTCAGCTCTTAGGCCATACCCCTGAGCACTACCACATTGGGGATGGAGCCCTCGGTACATAAGTCTATTTAAACCCTAAGAAGCATGTTACTCAGTTACAGATGACTCGGGCAGAGACTTCTGGCAGGCCTGAGGCCAGGCTATTGGCAGTAACTGTGGCTGTCCCCTCCTGGCTCACCCTAGCTGTGGTTACCAGTGATCTTCAAGCAGCAGGCCCCAAGAACCAGCTTTATGTGTAACAGGACCTGGGGTGAGGCTCTGGAATGACCACAGTTGAAAAATGGTGATGAGTGTTCCTGGGTGGCCCCGGTCCTCATGTGGCCACAGTGTGTTGCGTCTCTATCTCTGCCTTAGGTTCCAGTTGTCTGAAGAACTTTGCTTTGTCCTGTGCCCCAGCTTACTTAAGGGACTGTGCTACCCTACCGGGCCTCATGTGTCCCTTCCTAGAAATTGGTTGAGGGTCTGTGGCAATCTGTGTGTGTCTTTTCCTTCTCCAACTAGGGAGCTGTGAGTGGTGGTGCGCGCCTCTAATCCCAGCACTTAATAGGCTGAGGCAGAAGGATCACCATGAGTTCAACCTGGGATACTTAGCACAACCCTGTCTCAAAAAGAACGTTCTAAATTTTTTTAAAGAACAACCTAAATGTATGCTTGTCAAGGTTTATGCTTAAATTGCACTCCCATCTCACCACTGACACTAAAACCAGACTTTCTGTTTGCTGGCTCCATTCTGGAGGGCAAACCCCATAGTGACCCATTCATTCCAACCCTGGCCACCACTCCTGGGCATCTTCCTTCTTGTTCATTAAGGTCGCTTTTTGCCCCTTGTCTGGGCTGTGCCATGAAGGTAGAGATAGGCTATGAGATGGACAGACAGAGCCAGACTTGATCACTGTTGTCTCAGCGTGAGAGTTTCTGAACTCGGGATTCCCCTTGGTCTTTAGTTTACCTCCTGTTGGTCTTGATCTCAGTTGTGTCCACTGCATCAGGCAGTTGGTAAACTGCTTCCCTTTTAAATCTCTGGCCCACGCTGGACAAAAACCTCTTTCTTGGTTCCTCTTAGACCTGACCAGACCAGCATTTTAAAATGTACTAAACACATTGTGACAGAACAATAATGACCTAATTGCAGGAAATGTAAAAAGCTTTAAAAAAGAGCAAGTGTCCCCAAATAGGCTGTACTCTCATAGCAATTCCTGTCTTATCAGGAAGGCCAGTGTGGCTCCTGAGGGCCTAGCCTGGCTGTGGTTCTGTTCTGTTCCATCTTCTGTGTCGAATAGCAGCTGGCACAGGCTTCTCAGTGCCCTCTGCTTCTTTCTCATTTCTGACCTACAGGACATGTTGCTGCCCCCTCTGATTGGCATTATTAGTGAACTGCCATAGAAGTGGCTCCTCCTGGGCGAGACTCCGCCCTCTACTTCAGGGTGCAGCCCCTGCCTACCAGTCACTAGAGAAGGGGTCACAGGAGCCAGCCCTGGCAGCAGGCAGGCAGGAGGAGTGTCCCGATGACCTCTCTAATCATCAAATCAGAAAACTTTACAAGAATGAGTACACTCATGATTGTTGATGCCTGTTGCAATTCTACAGGGGTTCGGGACTCAGAACAGAAAAGAACTTTCTTCACAGATTCTAAAACAGGACCACCATGGGGAGGCAAGAGGGCTCTTTGAGTCCCAGCCGAAATCTGGAATATTGACATTCTAGGACAAGGTTACTCATATAGTCACTGTATATTTTTATGTTGAAAATACTCATATGTTCAGTGTAAACACCTGTAACGCACCATAATGGCATAACCATCCACAGCTCCAAATGTAACTGCAAGTGATCTCCTCCTCTTCCTCCATCCCCTCCTCCTCCTTCCCCACTTCTTTCTTCTTTTCAGTACTGGAGATGAAATTCAGGCCCTTTGCATTAAGCTACATCCCTGGCCCTTTTTTAAAATTTCATTTTTTATTTTGAGTCAGGATTGCCCAAGCTTGAACTTGCAATCCTTCTGCCTCAGCCCCCTAGACTAAGCTATTAATTTTGAGTGCTTTGTTACATTATGATTAAAAAAACCATGTTTTGGGGTTTTTTATTGTTGGTTGGTTGGTTTTTGTTTTTGTTTTGACACAGGGTCTCAGTGTGTAGCTCAGGATGGCCTTGAACTCATGGTGATCCTCTTGCCTCAGCCTTCCAAGTGCTGGGATTACAGGCATGCTCCCCCACACCTGGCTACCATGTTTTGTTTTTTATTAATTATTTTAATATTCCAGGGGCAGGGGATTTAACTCAGTGGTTTCGCTGCCTGCTGTGCAAGCGCAAGGACCCGAGTTCGATCCCCCCGGTACCAAAAAGAAAAAAATTCCAGGGACCTAAAATAGAATGGAAGTGATTTAGGCCTTGCTTAGTTTGTGATGAGTCCGGCTCGAAGATGTTTCTATAACTCTTGGCTTTCTTGTTTACTGGAAGATGACCTATACAATGTGCCACCCTACCCTGACGATCCATCTCTGTTATTTCTAAATGTTTTCGAAGCATCCTGAACCCTGCACAATGAGGGATCCTTAAGAAAAAATTTCTTTCTCCTCCCTATCTCCCTTGCTGACCACCCCAAAGTTCTTACATCTCAAACTTCTTCGTACAGAAGGGTTACAATTCCCGGGGGCAGGGCTTATTCACATCTTTAATTCATAGCTGCTTCCTGCATGACAAGGCAAAGGGAGTCGCTGTGAGGGCATCCATGACCCTCTCTGTTGCCTTCACCAACCAGGAAACCCTCATGGCTTTGGACCATTGCCTTCTCTTTACTAAACCAGGGAAATCTATTCTTTGTTTGTTTGTTTGTCTGTTTGTTTGAGACAGGGTCTTACTATATAGCCAGGCTGGCCTCAAACTCATGATGATCCTCCTGCCTCAGCTTCCCAAGTGCTGGAATTACAGGCGTGCACCACCATGCTTGGCTCTATTCTAACTTGTTTGGATTATGGAAAAATGAGAAGTCTCCTTTTCAAATCCTTATTTTTTTCTTTGTTCCTATAAGGATGTAGACTTTTTTTAAAACCCCAAAGTAGGAAGAGACCATTTTCCTTGTTCCCTTTTCTCCCCCGAGTAGCCTCTTCTAACAGAATATATGGGTAAGGGTGGAAGTGGGGAGTGAGAGGGAGGGGGAACAGAAAAGAGAAAAGAAATTGTGACAAAAATGATGACTGTGTCAACATCATCTGCTGCTTGTCTGGGTGTCAAGCTCTGTGCAGGACAGAGACTTGCACCTTTTCAATACCCCGGGAAGTGGATGCTCTGTCCCTATTTTAGGGATGAGGAAGTAGGCACAAGGCTAAGTGTCTCAACATCACATGGCCCCTAAGAAGCAAAACTAGTCCTGACTAGTCAGCAAGTCAGTCCTGACTAGTCAGCAAGTCAATCCTGACTAGTCCCCAAGTCAGCAGACACTGAAACCAGCTCTGGCCCCAACGCTGCTCCGGACATCTGGCCTCACATAGATGGTGGCCTTGGGACAGTCTCAGTGACACAGGCTCTGGGAGGGGCAGCTGGATCCGCTGAGCCAGAGCTGAATGCCTCTGCCTGCCTGGGCCTGTGTGGGGCTGCACCGGAACGAAAGGAGAGAGTTGCCAGGCTGGTGGCTAAAAATATAATTTCCAAAATACGTCCTGACATGAACCTGTTCTCATGGGAAAGAAGTTTGAGAGTGCTTTCCAGAAGGAAAGGAGGGTTGGATTGTATTTAGATAGCTAGCTGTTCAACTCAGTGTGGCAAAACTAGGATATTATGAAAGACCAGGGCTGTCTGACTTCCTGCACATTGTGCAATCAAAAGTGAACAAACAACACAAGAGTTTACAATTATCCTTTAATGCTTCATTCCTCCAGTAGAAGTTGGTTAATCAGAAAGTTATATTTGTGCTGTGTCTCTCTCTAGGGGAGACAGAAGGGATGGAGAATAAAGAGGGCCCGCCTGAAGCAGCCCCAAGGGGCCGGAGGAAGTGTTTTGTCAGGGGTCAGGGGTCAGGGGTGAGATATGATAAGGGAAACAGGGGATGGGGGATAGGATATTGGACTATGGAAAGGGTAAAAATAATACTGCCTCTCACATCCACATCTGACTTCTGATCACACTCCCTGGACCTGTTTAGAATATTTACCCAGAAGCCTCCTGTGTTGATCCAACTTCAAAAAAGATTGCTATAACTGGCCAACTGTTTTTAAAATAACATTTCCAGTTCTAGGGGCTGGGATTATAGCTCAGTGATAGAGCACTTGCCTAGCATGTGCAAGACCCTAGGTTCAGTCCCCAGCATTCACCAAAAAAAGAAAAAAATCCATTTCCTTGATAAACAAATACTCTTAGCCTCAGTGAAGAATGTTTCAGAGTATGCACAACCAGTGATTGCTTCAATTTTGCTGCAAAAAAATTTTGCAATCTTGGGCACAGTTTTCTTCTATTTTGAATTAAACTAGAGAGTCACTCAGAAGATGTAAATCTTTTAAAAACATCACAGCTCTTCAAAAAGTTAAAAAGAGGTTACCATATGAACCAGCAATTCCACTCACAGGTATTTACCCAAAGGAACTGAAACAGGACCTCATACAAATACCTGGCAGCCAAAAGATGGCAACAACCCAAATGCCTATCAGCCAATAATGGATAAACAAATACAGGC